ACGAAATACTGATACTATTCTTACAGTATTGATACGATATGAATAGTATCGATACTGTTCATGTGGTACTGATACCCTAAGTAAGAGAAATATCAATACTATCTAGGTAGTATTGATACTACCAGCTTGCTCAAATTCCAGAATGCAAAATAGGTACCGATACCCAAAGGGGTACCGATACTACTTGACATAGTAGTATCGGTACCGTCAGGCCTAACAGCTAGTAACGGCTAATTTTATTTAAAATAATAAAGGAAGTACCGATACACATAAAAGGAGTACAGATACTCACTGTACTTTTATAAACTACACTAAATATGAATAATTTTTTTAAATTAAATTTTATTAAAATTATTGACAAATTTTAAACATTTTTAAGGGTGGAAACAAATAAACAAATTTATTACTTATCAATTTTTTAATACAATTAAATATTGACTACAAAAACTTAAATAAACAAATTTATTACTTATATTTGCGCTATTCTTGTCGATGTCGAGGAGTGGTAGAATAGTAATGACGTGGTACTCGTCGATTTTGTCATGGTCGTCTACCTTCGTCATTTTTGTCTTCTTCCAGTTTCGGTGTACTGAACATTACTCTACCACTATGATTTACATCTTCCAGTGAAAACAATGGAGTATTCAAGGTATTTGACTCCATCATTGGCGTCATTGCCTCAACTTGAGATTGTCCGTGTTGGAGAAGATGATCCCATGAACCTCTTTCTTCCGATTTTGAGGAAAATTATTGTGAATGTGGCACTTGAATCCACCCACTTCCTTCCCACGTCGCTCGACTCTCCATCGATGGTTGATATGCACCATATCCACCATAACTTTCTTGTGATGGATAATAATTGGCGGAAGCATAAGATGAAGATGTTAATGAAGATGATGATTTTTTTTTCCATATCTTGCCTTCATTATTTCCCGCTCGGACCGCTCCTCCGGCGTTGTCGAGTATGGTTTCCCATTTGCTTCATAATTTTAGAGGTAGGGAGAAACATTAAAATCAAAATCTTCGGGTTAAACCTCGGAACGATTATGCAAATGTAATGCCTCTCATGCCATTGTTGTATGAATATAACATGCTTTATTGGCCAATCTTCTATATGCTTCCTGCGCGCATCTATTTTATGTAAATTGTCCATGTTATATATGGACATTTCCATCAGTTGGTGACACCCAAATTGTCACAAAACTCTATCGGCGGAATGGATCTCAACAATTGCGAAATAGAGCGATGGTGGTACAATACACCATGTCTCCGCTCCTTCAAAGAACATTGGCGGTAGACACTGCTGGATATCCGACTCATAATAAGGAACTCAATTAAATTGTCAAAAGTATTATGTTAGTATAATTAAACAATTAAAATGACAATTTCAAATTTAATGCAAAAAATAGTAAAATTTACCGCATGTCTACCAGCGATATCAATCATCATCTGAATATCTACTTTAGATGCACCCCACAACTTTGTATTGGTTATTCGGTGTATTTATCTAAAAAATTACATTATTTATTATCATTTTCAAAATATTTAAATAAATATTATAAAATATGAAAACTTTAAATATATGAATCTACCTTGCGGCAAGAGGAAACTCCATAGGAGCGGATGTAATAGGTGTAAAAAACGGGAGATGATACCACTCCCATGATTGAAGCAAAACTAAACAATTTGCTACATCCGTTTTTTTTCTCTCTAACCACTATGGTCACCTTACAGAGTTCACTATACAAAAAGAAAAAATACAGAACCCCAACTATATTGGCGACATACAAAGAAATCGTTCAATACCAGAAGATATTGGGTGTGCACCAAATTACCCGATTTATCCGGTAGCAAGATTCCTCCAATCAACGTCATAAGATATGCTCGAGCTGCATACATCACCTTAAATCCACGAAGAAATGCCGCTCCATATAATCCGGATAGTGAAAGATATATCACCATCCGCTCATGTGGCTCTTCATTCGTCATTCCTCGATGACGAATTCATCGTTCTTCTCGCTACAATTTAAAAATAAATTATTTAATATAATTACATAAATAATTATTATTAATACTATAATTTTATCAAAACTAAAATAAAATAAAACAAATTAAATTTATCGTAGTCAACTCGGTCGACGAAATATAAACATCATCAAGACATAATATTGATTCTCTTGATTTGATTCCAAGTGAAAAATCAATACAACACAAACATCTATTTATACTACTCTACCCAACGGCTATAAACGACTAGTTTTTTCAAATTGATTTTTTTTTATAAAAAAATTGACCATTCAACAACGGTCAATCCAATGTTTAACAAATTCAAAATTATACTCGTTGGAACTCGTCACACCGACGTGACGAGTTCCTTCTGCATTAAAAAAAATATTTTTCAATGCTTTTAAAAATTTCAGAAAAAATCGTCACGCGGGCATGACGAGTCCCTTAAGATATATTAAATAAATTCGGGTTGTGAGACCCACGTGACACAACCCATTAAAAATTATATCTCAAGAAACTCGACACACTGACATAACGAGTTACATTGATACTGTAGTATTTACCCTATATTCTAAAATAAAATTTTGGGTGTCTATTGGACTAAATAATCCATCAGCTTCGATTATTGGGTAAAAAAACTTTATGTTGTCGGCCACATTTAAGATAAGATAGGAATAGGATTGGGAGCCAATATTTTCAAACTCAAGTGACAGTCTTCCAGGCCATGACTAGTTTTTAATTGAAGTGATCAAGTGAGGTCTATCAAGGTCTATGGTCAAAAGACATGAGCCCACGTGCGCCGCCTTATCCTCATACCCCACCCATGTCCCTCTTTCCTTTTCCAATATTATGTTCAAACAAATTGGGTCCCTTCATTATTGTTTTGCTCAGCACACTTTAATCCACTAATAATTTGTTTATGAAAAATATATAATTATTTTAGAGGTTTTGAATTCGAACAATCGTTTTAATAAATTTAATTTTTTTTCATATAAAAATAATATATCATATTTATTTCGGATTATTAGAAAGAGCCTTACAAATTAGAAAGACCAAATACACCTATAAGTTATAATTGTCATGCCGAAGTTGGTTTGATTGATACGAGCGAGAAACTTTGAAATGTATAATCGTATCTTTTGCATGATTTTGCATGTTAACTCAAGGTGAATGGATAGTAGGTTTTTCTTTCAAGTGGGCCAAACAATTATACATATTAACTTTACTTTTATTACATGTATGAAATTGACATGAATTTATACGTTACATGTTATTGTATAATCGAATTTATTGAGTAGTCTCAATGATAAAAAGAATATTTTTTTTATAGAAATCTCAAGTTTTAATTGTTGTAAATGTAGAACATGTGTATAATATCTATATAACCATATAAAGTGTTTTCCTTTAGATCCTTCATTAAATATTATAAAAAATTATGTTTAATCTAATTTTTCTGTTGTTATAAGAAGAAGGATCTCTAGCTCGTTGTATTTATTTTTGAGTTGTTTCAATTTTAATTTTAATTTATATATATATATATATATATATTCTTTTCTTGTCCTCTATCGTCGTCCACAACTCTAAATTCTTTACCTTCTATGAAGTAAACCTTTAACAAATAATCTCTTTCTTTTCTGTCTCTCTATCGTCGTCCATACCCTAAACTCTTACTTTTTATGAAATGAACCTTCAACCACCTCAACCTAATTTTTTTCTCCTAAGACATGAAAATGTAGAAGGAAAAGGGGTTAATATATGATCTATTTGTCGTTCAAATTCATGGACTTACAAAATGAACAGCATGTGGAATGCATATGGAAGTATGATCGACCAAAATTCTTCAGAGCTGTAATGAAAATTAGATGCATGAGAGTGATGTTGTGCAAAGTTGGGGCAAGAACTGCCCCCACTAAGATTTCACAAAAAAGGATTAGAATATTAGCTTGAAAAAGGATTTGCCTTTGGTACAATGTTTAAAGGGTACCCTAAAAACATCTCATCATTCTGATTCCAGTGTTGAAATTAATATAATTTATTAATCGATTATCATAAAGTATTTCTGGTTATTTGAGCCAACAAAACATGGATTAAGATTCCTTAATTACATGTTATATTTACAAAAGTTACAAGTTCGATTTGATATGGATCAATTAGAAGTTCAAATTCAGATCGATCGAGTTAGATTATCTTTTATTTAATCATTGATATCTAATTTATTAATCGATTAATTCGTGATCGAATTCGTGATCAATTAGAAGTTCAAATTCATGTTATAATCTAGCTTTCACAAAAGCATTCATGCTCCCTAAAGAACAATGAAATAAGTTCACTTGGGGACCTTTCAGTAGGCAGGCATGGTGGTCTCTTCTCTAAGCCATTTTCAATCCAACTTTCATATATGATCTGTAAAGCTCGACAGGTTCATGAACCTGTCACTCAGATAGTGTTAGATGATACCTTATCGGCCTTGGTTGATCGTGACTTCCCCTATTGATTGAATAGGGTCCACGCGGAATTGAATTCAAATTGCCATGACAATCTCCCACCAAACAATCAAGACATGAGGAATTTTCTCTGTTGCACAAATATTGGTTATGTATGCATGTAAGTATGTATGGATGCATGCATGGATGTTCCTCCCGTTGCCCAATGTTTGCCGTGCATTCTGCTAAATAGTCCTCTGGTTTTACTAATGCCAGAGCGGAATTTAACATTTGTTTTCTGGTTTTACTGGTGATGTTCGAAATAGTTCATTCGGCCAACAATAAGTCAGCTGCATGTTCTGCATTTATAAAGCAAAGGAATCAGCATTTACTAGAAGCAAACTCATTAGCGATTTATAAACCAGACCAACATCATTAGTAACAATGTCTTCGATCCGTAGCTGAAACAGAAGGGTCGCATTCAAGTTCTAGGAAAAGCAACCTCCACAAGGTCGAGGATCTCGACCGTCACTAAACATGATTCAACCTTCCCACCCAAATTTACAGTCGAAATAGCCCCAAAATAATAAAAAGATTGATAAGGTAAAGTTTTCGCAAAATATTCTACAACGTGCTTCTCCATGATTCATGACATGTATTTAGTCAGTTACCTTTCTCCAACCCCAAGCAATATAGCTATCCTGTGATGCAAAGTCCTACAATAGCAGTTAACAAGTTCATTATAACAAGGATATATTGACAAAATAGTAGAACAAGTTAGGAAAGGATATAACGTACAAGCTGACTCAGGTGGAACTCGTGTGGTGTATCGAGTTCTATGTTTGTTGGGTTATCACCTTCAAGGTTTTGACACTCCTCCAGATCCTTCTTGAGATGTTCTGCTCCAAGATGACCATAATCGGAAAGACGGGGATTACTGTCTGGTATCCCATCATTACCATTAACATCCCTCTTTGGTGACTGGCTCTGAAGGAGCTCATCGCAAAGAGAGAGCCCTTCCACTAGCTGCTGTGAATCCAACAAGAACTGCGATTCACCATCCCACCATTTTGAATCTTCATCGGCATGATTATCGTTATCATTATTACCATCATTATCTAACATCTGGTTAGCATGGTTTTCTTGACCAGGTAGCTCATCGTGACTGGAATTTTCACATTCAGTTTGAACTTCATCTTCAACATACTGCATTGTAGGATGCTTTGCTGAAAATTCCTGAGAGAAAGAGAACATCAGAACCTCTTTCAATACGGCCACTTACATAACAGAGCACATGAATGCATTAATAACCACAATTTGTCACACGGCAATCTCCTAACAAACAATTTTTCTATATTACAGGGAAATAGAAATAATGCCAAAGCACTGACATAAGCTTCTCGACTGAGGAAAGGTAAATGCAGAGATATAGTCTGAAATATAATCCTACTGCTTCAAGTAGATAAAAAGCAGTCCATGGATGATTCCAAGGCCCATAGCTAGGAAAACAAGAACAAGATATTACCTGAGCAGCGGGGTTGATGTAAGAAACTGTATAGTCCTGTCCTTGGTCATGTTCATGGCATTGCCTCCCTGTCCGTGGAGGGTCAGGTGTCACAGGCTTAGGTGTCACAGGCTTGGGTGTCACAGGATCTACTTTAACAGTCATTGTATCAGTCATTTCAGGTAAATCCGGCTCAGTTTTATCACCCTGTTTGGTTTGTTGCTGTGGCTGCTGATGAAATATTTTAGAAATAACGTACTCCCCGTCTTTTTCATCCTCCTCAGTTCCTAGATGATATTGGTGCATCACCCAATTAGTCTTCTCCGCTTTTCCACCTTTGGCCTGGGTAATATAGAGAACCATAATCTTCTTGCATCCTCTTTGAACACCATCCAACACCACTGGTTTTGTCCTACCAGTCTTATGCCAGCGGACATCACTAAAATCATCACGATGGATCTTTCGACGTTTCCGTGTTCCAGTATTGTAAGCTTTGATAGCTCGATGAAAGAAGTGAGACACACTTCCATCTTCCCTAACCCCTAAAGTTTCAATTTTTCGAATTAATGCTAGTAAAAAAAGATGCTTAAATAAAAGAGCAGGGAAAACCATTAACCCTTACCAACCTGGTAATTTTTTGGGGACGTGTATAACAGATACCATCATCATTTTCAATGGTTGGAATGAACTCGTTAATGAACGGATGGGGTTTTGAATCTTCCACACCAACTTTTGTAAGTAAATGCCATATGATCTCCTGATCAGATGGATCAAATTTGACACCTCAAGGTAGCCCTGGCCATTCTTGATTCACATAGAAACACACCTTTAGTTTCTGAGTACATTAGATGTATTAACTCCCTACTGTTCATGGTTATGAACATTAACCAATATCATAATATTTATGGTTATTAGTAAGTCGAGCAAGAAAATTATCACTTTAACAGTGAAATCAGAACATCACGAGTTTCGCTACACGTCCATGAAAACACTAATAATTGGACTTATGATTGTCAAAACAGTTATAATCCACAATATCTCCAACTTTTCATTGAATATAATTGGTATACTAGTAATAAATCTAGACATCTAATACTAGACACAAACCACATTGCAAGTAAATAGCTATATAGATATAGATAGTTGTAAGACAATTTTGCTCAGCTGAGATTAGGATTTGCCAAGATAAAGTAGTGCAAGTATTTGCAAAACAGAGTACCTAGTCTGACTGACGGAAGAGATATGCGGATGACCTACTTCGGATTCCATATAAAAAAACTTAATCTTAGCTTCTATAAAGTAGCAGTCTAAGGCATGGCAATTTAACATTTCATTTTATTGCTTAGATCATGTCAAGCTAGCCATAAGAACCTCGAGAAAGGCCTGGGGCAACTAATATAAACTCAATCAGCACAGACCGATATAAGCTTGCTCAGCTGATGTCTTTTAGGTACCGAAAGCATATAACATAAAGCAAACGAAAAAGGAACTTATACATCCCTATTGTCAATGGTATGATGGAAATTAGGACAAGATCTGGTAGGGTTGCTTTTCCATGTAGCCCTTTCAGGATCAGATGCACTCCTGATTTTTGTTGCAATCCTGTTACCATCCACCAACCATGTTCTGCATAAAGCACTCAAAAAACAGAGAAAAAGCCGCCACTATCAGTATGTTCTGTATAAACCATGTTCTGTTCTGGAATCATCTTGTTAGTAAATAAAACCCCCAGAAAATACATCATCATCTATATATGTTACAGTAATCGAATGCAACAAAAACCCTAATCATAAACCAACAATTTAAACGAATTAGCCTAGGGCCCTATTTCACATCTATTCTAATAGACTGGATATATTTAATAAGGAGGACTAAAAGTTTTGATTAAGAAGAAAGAAAGAAAATTAGATGGTTTCGGTTCAAAACTAATACTGAATATCCAGATCATTGACATGCAGTTCCAGAAACTTAAAAATTTCAACAAAAAACATATAATGCGAGCTGAAAATAGGAAAGTGCGGAAGAGGAAAAATTTACTTCCGGATAGCCCAAAAGAGAAAATAAATACCTTCTTGCAAGTGAGGGGAGAGGCTAAGAAATAAACACAATCAGTGTTGCATTCCAGCAATTCTTCCTCCACTTTTTTTGTAAATAAAAAGCTGAAAGACAGAGCACTGCTTGGTTTTACAATTTTACATGGCGGAAAATTGAAGAACAAAAACCAAACGAGAGTGCATGTGAGCGAAAGAGACTGAGAGGTGAATTTGTTGTTTGGGATTTCATTATATTTGATCATCTGTTGGAAAATATTTAACCACAAGGATTAAACAAATAAATTATGTCATTTATACAAAATAATTTCAGCTTTGTTGGCGACTTTCAACAATGATACTTAGTTCATCTTAGTAGTATTTGTCAACTCTACATTTCTAACCCCATTTTTTTCTCACAAGCATTTCATCGAACATCTATGCTTCACCTGAGATGACATGTATCTAACATTACACCTTGAATCATTGATGGTCTCGATAGTCCCTTGGTCGGGTCTTCTCTCAATGGACCCTTATTCAAAGTCAACACCTCCACATAATTCAAAGTTATATTAGAATTTCTCATGCATCCCCGACTGAAAAGTTGCGATGTAAATGAGAAGAGAAAGCGAAAAAGGAAATTCGAGATAAAAAAGAAATTTGGACTTTAGAATGAAATTAAGGACTGTGTTGCAAGTTTTAAAAGTTAGGGGACCTAAATGCAAGTGCCTAAAAAGTTCAGTGACCATATTGCAAACTACTAACGATAGTGTAACGGTCAGGGATCATATTGTAAACGGATTAAATATTTGGGGACTATATTGCAAGTTTTAAAAGTTAGGAGACCTAAATGAAAACTTTAAAAAAGTTCAGTGACCATTACTATACTTTACCCTTAAAATATTACAAGAGTAGCGAGATGATATTATGTAAAATTAATATATAAAGATTTCTTTTCAAACAGAAATATTTGTACATAGGTTAAATCCCAAACTTAAGCATATTAAAAAATCAAAGTCATAATTTGACTCGGAAAATGGCAGTAAATTAAAAGTAATATACTGATGTGATCCTGCCTAAGGTCAAACTTCTTCAACACATGCTCACTCTTTATAGTGATGAGTCTAACTGAGTTCATTACTTATTTACTTCTATATATATTACATTAAACATGTTATTAATGATTTTTATGTATAGATATTTTATAATTTTATCTATAATTAGTAAAAAGGAATATTATTTTCTTAGAGATCAGCAATTGTATGTGTAGGATGTGCGCACGTTGTCGATAAGTTATATATGTAAACTTATAAAAGTCTCATCAGTGAAATAGAATATTGATATTCTTAAACATTCTTAATTCGACTTGTTCAAGAAAATTCTAAAAAAATATTGTGTTTTAATTATCTTAAACTATTAAAAGAAGGGTAAATCATACAATTGACCATTCAACTATTTAGCCCTTTTACTTTTGTCATCGATCTTTCAATTTTATCAGTCATACCACTTAAGTATTTAATTGTGCTCAATTAAGCCACTAGCTGTTAATGGTGAACGGAAATGCTGATGTGACAGTTAAAAAATTGACACAATTCTACATTTAGTCCTTCATGTTTATATATATCCTATCAATTTGGTCCTAATTTAAATTTAATTTAATAAATTTACTATCTTGGTTGGAAGAAATTCAAACAATGATGGGAGAACAACACTAATACTACTGGGCTACCTCAAAAATTTAAAATGTGTATATTTTTAAACTAAATTGGATATCTTCTTTTTTCCTTTTACATTTATAATTTAGTGACTATACATAATTTTAAATTGAGTATTTTTAATTTAATTAATAATTTTATTTTTATTAAATATTAAATGTATAAAAATATTGTATATTTTTATTTTTTTATTAAATGATTATATAGCTCTCCATAATATTAAAATATCGACTATTTAATAACATTATAAAAATAAAAAATAGATTAAATGTACTCAAATTGTAATTATTTATTTATTTGTGTCACAATTGATAACCTGAAAGAAAATATAAAATATATATATTTAATAAAAAATAAAATTATATTTAATAAACAATAAAAAAATTATACATTTTATACTTAATAAATAATAAAATTAATTATTAAATTAAAAATACTCAATTTAAAATTATATGTAATCATTAAATTATAAATGTAAAAAAATATAAAATTTATTTTAAAAAATATACATATTTTAAATTTACATTTGGTAATTAACTATATATATATATATATATTATTGTGCGTTTCCTAACTCAAATGGTGAAGATACCCCAGTTGTATTGATGTTGTTATTCCATCCTCAATGCCCAGGTTCAGGTCCACACAACCCTTATTAATATTTTTCTTTGTACTTTGATTTTTTTTCAAATTAGGTGTTGATATGTGTTATGATCATGCGTGCCCGTTATTGATTGAACAATTTATTTATTAAATTAAATTTAAATTAGGACCAAATTGATAGGATATATAAACATCAAATACTAAATGTAGAATTATGCCAATTTTCTTAACTGCCACATCAATATTTCCGTTAACCATTAACGACTAGTGACTTAATTGAATATAATTAATTAAGTGGTCTAATTGAAAAATTGAAAGATCGATGGCTAAAGTAAAAGGGCTAAATAGTTGAGTGGTCAATCGTATAGTTTACCCTTAAAAGAATTATATCAATACATATATTATACATACCCACTCACAATTAACTAACCCACTTTCTAATTCTTTGATTCCATCCCTTTGCTGGCTGATGTCTCCTCCCCACTAATCTTTAGAAATTTCAACAACTAATTTATTCATTCTCGTATGCACATTATTCCACACAAATTTATTTTTCATATCCCAGTCAAGACAGAACTAGACTCGGTCCAAAAACAGTTAAAAGATGGTTAGATAGGTGATTAGCAAGTTGGTTTGTTAATCACTAAGCCGTGTATATTTAGCTGAAGCTAAACCTATTCAAACTGAAGATGATGAAAACCTTGTTTCTGACTTGATATTACCGGCGGTCACCTTCGCCGCCGATCATCTTCACAATAACTTTGAAGTTGGGAATCAATCCTGGCGGCCTGGTGTTTTAGTTAGACCCAGGAATCAAGAAGCAATATATTATTCTTTTTTTTATAACAATAACATGGGTGCAAGCAAACAGTGGTTCATAGTACATGTTCATCAGCGGCTGTCTTCAAATCACGCAGCAAAATTACAGCTCCGGTTCATTACACTAATAAACCCTTGACTTAATTTCAGTTGACCACAACAGTCTCCTTTTATCATGAGAAAAAGCTGTTTGATTCCCCCCACTGCCACCTGCATCTACTTCATTCTTCAAACTCCAAACCTCAAATAGGGCTTTCTTAGATTCTTCACATCTACCCATATACACATAATGCTTTTACTCATCTCTGCACTGCAGTATATTTTCTTTCTTTTTATACCAAAAATCTCATCACCATTTCTTTTACCTTAAACAATATGATATTGCAACTTGGAAGCTATAGTATATCAATCACCATCACGACAACTTGGAAGCTATAGTATATCAATCACCATCACGACAACTCTTCCCATCAAGATGTATATCTCGACTCATCATGGTTTAGGGTTAATTCCAATCAAAAGTTATAAATAGATCCTAGGGTAAACTGCACGTTTAGTGTTCAACTATTACTTCAAATATTTT